GGTGGCCGAGCTTCTCTGCTGTGCGGCACCCATGGCTTTGCCAGTGGGGGAGGGGGTGAGATCATTCCCCCACTGCCTGCCCACATGGGGAGGTTTGGTTTCCTGGCCAGGAACGGGCCTAGGGTTCAAGGAATCCCGCTGGCCCCGCTCCATGCCCCGGCGCACTGCCTCGCACAGCTGCTGAGCACCCCGGCTCCACCAGTGCCTTGCTGGTCTTGGCTTCCCCTGCGTCCCTGGGAGCCCGGCGGTGCCTTGCCAGTAAACGTGGGCTGAGTGGGGATGTGTGCCCGTGCACTGGCCATATGAGCAGGAACGGGCCTAGGGTTCAAGGAATCCCGCTGGCCCCGCTCCATGCCCCGGCGCACTGCCTCGCACAGCTGCTGAGCACCCCGGCTCCACCAGTGCCTTGCTGGTCTTGGCTTCCCCTGCGTCCCTGGGAGCCCGGCGGTGCCTTGCCAGTAAACGTGGGCTGAGTGGGGATGTGTGCCCGTGCACTGGCCATATGAGCTGGCTCTGGAGCCTGAGCCCTGGGGGAGGGACCGGGTCAGGTTGGCATGAGCGCTGCACCGTTCGTGGGCTGTAGCCATGGGCCAGCAGGGGGTGGCGTGGGGCAGGAAGGTATTTCTGGGGTAGGAGGGACTGGGGGCCTTTCTCCTCTACTCTGGGCATGGGCCAGCGCGGGCAGGCAGCAGCACATACCAGGCCCACCCTGGGAGCAGGGGACCCCGGTGAGGGGCATTCAGTCCTGGCGCCCAGTTGGGCTTTGGCCCCTCTCCTGCATAGGGGTCGGCCAGTGGGGATCCAGCAGGGCCATCTGCCGTAGGGGTGGACAGATGTTTCCAGCCCCGCTCAGGCTGCCACAGAACCGTAGCAGGAGCTGGCGTGTGGCCGAGCAGCGAAAGGCTCCCGGGGCCCCCACACGCTGGATGGCGTGGCCCACGGTCCCCCCGACTGCTGGTCCCTTCTGTGGTGAGGGGGTGGCAGGCAGGTGCGCCCGCCCCGCGAGGGGGGGGCATTCAAAGTGCTGGTGTGGCGTCTCCTCCCAGCTCTGCCTGTCCAGCGGAGCAAACGAGATGGGCGGGGCCCTGCTCTGCCCCCCCACCGCTGTCCCTGGGTCCAGGAGCTGAGCAGCCTGCAGCTCTGCTGAGGTCCATGGTGGGAGCTCCCAGGCAGCCCCTCAGCCCAAGGGACGGGGGCCTGCTGCCTAGGCCGTGCTGCTGGTGGAGCAGGGGGTGCTCTGGGTGCTGCCGATGCTGTGGTTGGTGCTGCTGCTCTCCGAGGCTGGGGTGGTGCTGGAGACCGGCTGCATTTTGGCCATGGGGCCTGGAGCATGTTCCGCATCGGAGAGAATGGAAAGCGTTAGTCAGGCGGGTCCTTTCCCAGGCTGCTCACAGCTTGCCAGGTGCTGACAGGGAACAGAGAGCACATGGTGGCGCATCCTGCCCCTGCCCAGTCATGGCGCTCAGCCCTGAGATAAGCCGCTGTCCCTGTGACTCTGGAGGGGAAAGACGGAAGTGGCTGTGGATAAGCCGATGGGCTGGTCCCCGCGGGGCCGTGAAATGTAGAAAGCTCCTACGTGAGAGAGTGTGCCACTTCCTGAGCACTGAGCATGCTCAGCAGTTCTCTTGCAGCCATTGCCCTTCTCTCTGCCAGCACTAGCGGTAAGTGTTTAAAAAGGGAGAAAAGTGGCTCAACAGAGGAGATGACCTAACCTCGACTTGGCAAGGGGTAAGGCAGACAGGTGCAGGCCGAGTTAGGATCCATTCTGGGCAAACTCAGCTCTGGCGGGGGCAGGGGCCCAAGCTAAACTCCACAACACAGAGGGCAAAGCCCCAGCACAGGCAGGGCAGAGGGGTAAAAACACCCCCCTCCCCCAGTGGGAACAAAGCACAGGTCAGAGTGGCTGTGGCAAGGGGGCTTTTTTATTTGCTTAAGCATATTTTAATTTTCAGAGGCACTGAGAGGCACTGAGCAGGGTTACCAGATAGTATTAAAAAATACTGGACACTCTTTGGGGGGACTGGCTGGGAGGGGAGCAGGGCTGGCCAGGAGGAAGGGGGGGGACCAAGAAGCAGAGCTGGCAGGCAGGGCAGCCAGCGGGAATGGGGCTGGTGGGAGGGGGGTTGA